GTGATGACTTGAGTTCAGATCTCGGCCAATGTTTCGTCACTGACAACTTTTCTTCTTCTTGCAGAACAGAAGGTGTAGCAATATTAATCTATATTTGTTCCCGGTAGGTAGCCGGTTCGAATCTCTTCCTTTTTATCCTGACGAAAATATTCTTTCTTCGGTGTCTCAAGACAAGTGGGTCAGTATCCTCTGATCGGTCGCCATATGGCTTGTTCCTCTGCTATTCACGGTTTAGGCTCAAGTCCGCTGCAGCTGTATAGTTGTCTCCTGACGTGACTACTTCAGCCTGTATAGGGCAAGGGTTTGAGACTTCTTGTGCTTCAAGTCCCGTAAAGGAGTGAAACAGACATTTCGTTCCCACGAAAAATAGAGAAAAACAGAACTTGGATAGGTCACAATTTAATACGTGAATTCATGTGTAATATTATGGTACAATGTTCGTCTTTATATCTGTCGCTTTTATTGAAGATTTTAGATAGTTAACTTTGTGTCGTTGCGGGAATGTTGCCGAAGTTTCGGAGGTGCATGTTTCCTCCGTCGTTATGGTTCAATTTTATTCGGTGAGTGACTTTTTTATACACAGATTTTTGCTTCGAAAGAAACAAGTGGGAAAAACGAGGATTTATGGCCCGTGTGAACCAAAAGGTAAAGACGGTCCGCCAATCCTCACTCATTTTCCACATCCCTTTCGAATCACAAATGTATATAAGCACAAATATTCGCCCACTATTCACACTAAGACATTGACGATGGGTCGAAAATTACTCCTAAAAGTTGACTACCTTGCGCACATCCACACGGTGTAATCACAAAAGATTGAAATAGCATCTATCAGTTAACTACCCTGAAATTCTGATATCAGTAATCTTTATATTTGTCATATATACAAGCTTATACTATGTCGATCCATGGGCCGCGCCATAGCTCAAGCGGTTAGTCGCTGGCTTCCCACCGCGGCGACCCGTGTTCGATCACGGGTCTGGTCAAGTGGGATTTGTGGTGGACAAAGTGGCGCTGCGGCAGGTTTTCTCCGAATACCTCGGTTTCCCTTGCCAATCTTCATTCCATCAATTGCACCATAATCACCCTCACCTATCATCTGGGGCTGGTACAACAGGCCAGAAATGGCCGCAGTGCAAGGGACTTAGACCCACCTCACTAGCAATAAAAAATAATGTAGATATCACATTGGACGGAGTGGTTTGTATTTATAATTGTTAGTGTGACGGACCAGAATGAAACAAATCAAATATAGATCCATTTATACAGGCACACAGACGGACTTGTGGTACCCATGACAAGCTGATTTGGTAACCAAAACATAACTTATCCAGAGCTTGATGAAACAGTGCTCTACGAAATTCCAGGTATACTACGTCAAAATAGGCCAAGGCAGCTTCCGCACAAATCCCTCCTCCACGCTCAACCCTCGTACTCTACGTCTACATTACAATACGCGATGTAGTTTAGTACTTGGTGCAAGGTCGTCAAACACTATGACGTACCATACAGTGGGCAGAAGATAACCAAGGTGTAATTCATGAAATTTTACGTCTCTGAAAGCAGAAGGATCACGGAAAGGGGCAACTTCTTAGCTCAAGACAGCCGAACTATGAGAGAGAGCAGTAGCAAGCAAGAGAAGGAAGGGGCACTGCTATAACTTTGCGGAAGAGAACTGTTGCAAGTACGGCGCCACCATCGTTCTTTGTGCTGATTTAGTTCTCTGCTAATTTCATTTTAAACAGTGCTATTGCGTAATTTTACCACCTATTAATAAGATACGCATCAAGTTGACTCTAAGCGACAAATATTCTGGCTTGTATTTGGGAGACGCTCTTTTCAAATCAGGGTATGAACGCGGGCTATGCTGACTGATGTTCTTTCGTAACCATATTTTATCCAGAAAGCAGTCTTCTGGGATTTGGCACCGTGTATATGTGGTGTTAACCGACGTTTCGGAGGAACGTATCGCCTCCATCTTCAGGGTAGAAGAAAAAATATAAGAAATCTCCAAGCGAAGAAACCGTGAGAACCGGTGAAAGCAGTCTGCTTTCTTCATAGTCACCGCGGTGAAAGCCTCAAATCTTACATTTTATCCAGTTATCAAATTCTAGAACAGTACGTATCTGAAATGAGACCGCGACTGCGTACTTCCGCATCGCGTTCATGTCATTAATCAGTACTCATTACTCGTCCCATTTTGCGATCCGACAGAGACTGAGCTAATAACAGAGCAGTTAAATGAATAAAATGCGTGTCGGTGGTTCCTTAACTCTGTAGCTATTTCTCCAGATTGTAATACTGCCCTCTCTGTCAAGTTCGCGTGTTATCTCCGGCCCCTCGAATAAAAATCGTGGTTCAAACCACACCAGTAAGAATACATCCCAGAAACTTCCTCTTTCAGAACATCTCAATGTGTACAGATGATTCATAATTTTAGGGGCTAATTCCGAAATGGAAAAAGCCAGAACACATAATCATTAAAAGCTAAAGAAGAATGAATTATGCTGGAAGTGACAGTGAGCAAGGTGGCTGAAGCCATAACGGTTCCGATTTATATTCGAGAGCTGCGTTCTTCAAATCTCGGCAGTGTCTTCCGTAATTTTAACCGAAGTTTCTGATGGTTTTTTACAGTCCCTCCAGGCGATTGTCAAGAGAAAATATCCTCATCCATTCCAGTTTATAGTTATTTCGTCATCCCAGCATTCGACATGATAATTTGCGATAATAAGAACGTGGCTAAATTGTAGATAAAGTAAACAGAAGCGATATTTTCAGCTGGAAAATAGTACCTATTTCTCTGTGTGAAGTTCCTTGTTTAATATCGTGAGCATCAAACTGACGAAGAACTGAGAACCGAAAAAAGTCGCAGAAGATCTGAATTTTGTCCAAATATATTTGCTGTGAGAAGGCAAAGCATCAACTACTGCTAATATGTGTCTATTACAACACAGTTTATGTCAAACTGAACTAAGCAGACGTAGGTATTTGGAGAGAAAATGATAATACATTTAATGAAAAGAGTTTCGATTTTTTTCTCGTAACTATATAAAACTGAGCTCCATCCTTTATGCGCTATATATTTCAGTCTTCATTTCTCTTTGTCTCAAATTAGATCCTTAGCAGAGAATGTGAGTCAGAGATTGATATACGAGTATGACAATTTTCTAATCCCTTAACATATAAATTATTACTCTGAAAAATAGAGCGACAACTGTAACGAAAGCCTAAATTTTTAAATCACTTAAAATGTTGTTATGTAAGTGCGTGCGGGAAGTGTGGCCATAGAACTTATCTTTGTAATGGCAAGAATCAATTTGCCAAAGTTCCATTGCGTTGCGTCACGCATCATTGTGCATCAGGCTTCAAGCGAACAGTGAGGAGAATTGAAGATGTAAGAACAAGCAATGATCCCATATAGAGACGGAGTTTGGAGAACAGAACACTTTGGAGCTAGAAGAAATCAAAAGACTGTGTCGTTTGGAGAAAGAAAATTGTAAAAACAGAAACTTGTATTCTGCTGGAACGCGGCTGTCACTAAATGCATTGCACTGACATCCCCGCGTTTCTTCTTGTCTTCTGAGCAACGTTCCTGAAACTTGGGCTCCATTCAAAATAGGTTTACGTACAGGGTGTTTCGAAAATTGTTGCGTATCAAACTTCGTTAGTTCTTTTATACAAAATATAATTCCGCCAATAATGCAACTTTTTCTATAACGCCTTCCCTTCACAACATGTTTCGGCCCGGCCCCAAACGTTCATCATCAAGTGTCTCAGCTATGCCAAAACTATTCCACTGGATACGCAGAATGTGCAATTTCTCACATCAAATATAACTGCGATATTTAATTATTTAAAATGTTGCCTGCTATAATCGATACTTAGTTAACATTAATTAAAATACCATACGCTGTAATTGACATTAAATTTAAATTTAAATTTATTATTTTTTTCATTAACCTTTAAGAGACGAAATACGCCGTATGGGACATTTAAAGTGCAGTCGTCGTGGCCAATGTGCGCCATATGGGACGTGTAGTCCAAACGCGTGCACAGTCTTTCGAAAAATTAATTTTAAGATAGAAATCTTTGTTTTACTTACATTCTTTTTCGGCATCAGCTTGATAAGTAAACAGGCTTCACTCCTGCATCATCTAACTGAATCTAGCCTTCATGTGGTACTCCTGGAAACACCCGAAAATGCAGAGTCCAACACCGCGTTTTATACATTTTGTTCGGATGTTTCTCCTCTTTGCACGTGAAGAGCACACACGACAGTTCAGTCTTGTGATTGACGAAGTTGGCCAGTGATGTCGATTGGCTTCCTCTAATCGACATATTGTAGATGAGAGAGCAGAAGGTCGACCTATGGGCCGCTGTGGGTGAAGATACCCCTTGCAGCATGTTCCAGCATATTTCGCACAAGGGCGAGACGAAAGTCNATAGCCCTCTCTCTGGATTTTCATGCTGTATCGGCCTGGGTGTTCGTGTGTTGTTGTGAAGAGAAGCAGCGATAGAAACAGTCGCATTATTAACGGAATAAAATTTTGTATGAAAACTGTATTGCCGGTCACAGTAGCCGCGCTGTCTAAGGCATGAACTGTCTTCGCTTGCTCGGACACTGGGGTTGTGGGTTCGAATCCCACTCAGGGCATGGATGTTTGGTATGTGTATGCGTTTATTCTGTGTTTGTGTTGTCCTGTGTTTAGATGGCGGCCTTCAGACGGCCTGATCACTAGTCCAAGAAGCCTACTCTCTGTGAAAAATGATTACGAAACTAAATAAAAGGTCTGGGCCCTGGATGGGCTGGAAGAGCCATTGTAAAAATTAGAGATATATTACTGCAACAGGATGCTTACATACAATATTCATTACTTCAGNAATTTCCAGGTCCGACGACTGATGGAATTCTGTTTGTCATTCTGTCTGCCTTGTCGACATATCCCGTGTGCTTGTTGTAATCCGCAACAGTTACTGGTTTTATGGCATTTCCATGCTCATCACAGAATTTGCCTTCTGTTGGAGGAGAGTGCATGTTTGTCCTTCCAAACTAGTGCTGTCATGTCGACTCTCACCCTAACCCGAATGTCACCTTTCTTCAATCTAAGTTGTCTGTTGCGAAAGTCTTGAGGCAAGCCCTTCCGATTTGGTCTCAATGTCCCACAGCAACTTATTTTCTTCGTCATTAGTTCATCGAACAAGTCTGGTGATGAAAAGAAACTGTCCATGTACGGTTTGTGGCCTACTCTCTCAACCCTTCTGCAGAGGTCCCTAACCGTAGCATGCGTCGCTGTTACATCTCGGTCGGCACGTGTCCTGTCTTTCCCTAAGTAAACCTTCATGTCATGAGTATACCCAGCAGCATCACAGCGTTTGTAGATTTTGATTCCGAAACATTTGTGTTTCTTAGGAATGTACTGTCTGAAAACCAACCTCCCTTTCAATCTGACAATTATTTCATCAACAGACAAATGTTGAGAAGGATTATAATATTTTTGATATGCGTCATTTAGAGTGTCGAAGATGATCCTAATTTTCCATTGTCCGTCATAACTGTCGGCATTCCTGTCAATTTCTGTACTGTTATCTGCAAAATGAATGAAATGAAGAATGCGAAGAAAACACTCGCGTTTCATTGTGTTGCTGTAGAAAGGCGTGCAAAACTGCTCAGCAGTTGACCAGTAGTCCTTTAGTCTGTCCCTTATATTATGTCCCATTTGACTGATGATTCCTAGAAACAGAAATATCTCGGAGTCGGTTACATCAGGGCGCGGAGAAGGTCCATCTTCAAGTCTGTCTAGGTCCTGGTGATAATATCTGTCAGTCTCTTCCACCAGCAGCTGGATAATTCCTGCGAAGTAAAGCATGAAAACGCAGAGTGGGGCTGATTCCTTATTTACGCCTGGAGCTTCATTGAGATTTATCCCCACTGCTCCACTGGAAAAATTATTCACAGCCCTCCTGTCACGCTGGTGTGGTGGTCCCCAGGTTGCCGTCGAAGATAATAGTTCTTCGTCGACTTCACTTTCGGAGCTTCCGTCGTGACCACTGTCAAAATCATCTGTACCGCAGTCCGAATCTGCATCACACAACTGCCTACTGATGTAACGTCCCAAGAATTTACTACGTATACTAACCGGCAACATCTGTAATCTGAGAATATGATTCAGCAGAAACAAATATAAACTTCCCATGCCCACTAATTAATAAAACAGGAGTGAACATTTATACTGCTGAAACGTATTGTGCATGAGGTAAAAGCAGAATTGTAGGCAAACGCTCAAAATAAAAAAAAAAACCAATCAGTGTAAGAATTTTTACAGATTTTAAAATTTTGTAAAATTCTTTTCACACTTCAAGTAAGGGCGTCGCCCGCTTGTTCAAACGATATAGTTCGATAGCCCTCTCTCTGGATTTTCATGCTGTATCGGCCTGGGTGTTCGTGTGTTGTTGTGAAGAGAAGCAGCGATAGAAACAGTCGCATTATTAACGGAATAAAATTTTGTATGAAAACTGTANGTATTGCCGGTCACAATAGCCGGGCTGTCTAAGGCATGAACTATCTTCGCTTGCTCGGACACTGGGGTTGTGGGTTCGAATCCCGCTCAGGGCATGGATGTTTGGTATGTGTATGCGTTTATTCTGTGTTTGTGTTGTCCTGTGTTTAGATGGCGGCCTTCAGACGGCCTGATCACTAGTCCAAGAAGCCTACTCTCTGTGAAAAATGATTACGAAACTAAATAAAAGGTCTGGGCCCTGGATGGGCTGGAAGAGCCATTGTAAAAATTAGAGATATATTACTGCAACAGGATGCTTACATACAATATTCATTACTTCAGCAGGTTGCTGCTGCATTGACGCTGCAGGCCAGGGTTCAGTACCGGATGTTCATGAAATATGAAACTTCGAGTGGACAAAATAATATACATCGTCAGTCGCGGATCTAAAGGATACAATTTTATTTTCTATAAATCTTTTTTGATGCAAATAATAAATTACCAATTATTAAAACGAATATTCTTTGCTTTCCCGTTTACAAAACAAAATTTAAATACAGGGAGATCGAGAAGTCGCGCACAGCACACTAAGCAATTTTATTTTACTGGTTTAATGCACAAACTACAAGACATACAGCACTTACTATTAATGTTTATAACCTTACATCTTGGAAATGCAAAACCAAATCATATCTTTACGACATATGCTCGAAATGGCTTCCCTGTTCAAAAATGTATGCGCGAGCTCTTTTTACCATGTTTGAGGCCACTTCGTGGAGCACCTGTAAACTGGTGCTGTTAGTCGCCGTCGTAATGTTCCTCTTGAGGGCATCCAGTGTACGATGAGGAGACTTCAGGAATAATGAAGTGTAAGGGATTTGGAAGTAGCAGTGGCCTGCTCTAGGTAGTATCCTAGGATTTGGCTGGGTAAACTTAGAAAGATACAGAGAAAGCCGATGTTCCGGGCACGTCTAAGGTATTAGTTTAGAGTGTTACTTCTAAATCATATTGTGACAAAATAATCCCATGCTAGGCAACGATCCGCTAAACACAATCTCGCGTTAACGTATACGCAAGCAACAATAGAATTGCCGTTTCTATGCAATGACAACGTAAACGCACTTCTAAAACAGTGGAGAAATTGCAAGAATAT